TGTCTCATTCGTCTGACACACCCCATCTGGAGTCCCAACAACGAGGAAACAGAAGCAGTCGTCCACCGATCGAGGAAAACACATGGTCCCGATATTGGCCAGGTATAAAAGATATTCGCATTTCGGAGGGGGTGGTTTTTTGCGTCTATGTAATCATCGAAGATGAGTCCAGCCTCACAGCTCTTGGTGTCGTCAAGAGCGAACTTGGCTGCTTCCTCTGGCTGAGCTTGGACATAGAAAAGCCCGGCTTTGCTTGCGAGATATGACACGCGTAAGTATAACTGTCGCAAGACACTGTCGCCATCTGATATCGAAGCTATCATGACTAGAGGGACTCACGTGTTATCAACGCCAACATAAGACTGTACTTGGTAAACGTCTGCCGCAGAATCAAATACCTGATTATGACCCTAGTGATAAACGAGGATCTCGAAGTCTTGCTACGCCCCGCATATGATTACGCGGTCAGCGTTCCTATCTCTGGCAATCATCATCAGGCTTATGATGCAAGATCTTTGACGCCAACGTAGTGCTTCATCTGCGGATGTACTTCGAATCTATTTTCAGGTAGCAGTGGTATACATCATGCTGACAAACGCTTCCTAAAAATGCCATATATTAGCTGTCCTCCCAGTGCAGCACAGCGTGGTACTCACATCATCTCTGAGCCTCAGCGAGCCTCCTTCACATCTGGTATCTTCTGAGTCTCTCCCGCCTGTTCATCACCTGCGCCCAGACTATGACGGCCCGCTCCAGCTCCAGCTACTGAAGATATCACCAATTCCCTCTGGAGTCTGCACCATTCTAGCAAGACGCATTGGTTTGTGATTGGCCCTGCAGGGAAACCGGCACGTAGATAGTGTGACTTAGGCCCTACGCCGCTGTTGACCTCGACTTGAAGCGACACTCTATCAGAGAGCTCAGCCGGATGAGTCTGTTACTGCAATGTTGATATGAATGAGGTTCTCAGGCACAGAGAGACCTTCGCATACAGGCCGCGGAGGTCGCGTTGAAGTTTCTCCCCAGATCCCAAAGCTTGTGTTCAGGGACAACTCATACACGTGCTGCTTACACATGTATATAAGACATGTCTCAGCATAGTTATACACTCACCAAATGGATGGCAAAACGCCGGTACATCTCTGCTCTCGATGACGTAGAGCATAGCGGCGACCCGTGTGTCCAACAGGTTGTTGGTCAAGTCATCGGAAAGTCACTTGCTTGACTCTTTGCCAACTCACCATTTCGAGACCACGCTGGGCACCGAGAATTGTGCCAGGGGATGCAAGCTACTATGCTGGCGCTCGGGAACACAGCCGAGGCTAGGACCATGTTCAACGTTCAACACCCGGTAGTCCAAGTAGCACATCATCCAGTAGTTGCTGGTGTCGTGCTGGGTGACTGCATGGCTGTGGTAGTGTCCAAAAAGCAGGCAGTGCTCGTTATCATAGGTCCAAACGAGTGTGTGACAAGACAGGGCGCAACTTCGGCGGAGTTGCCCAGAGGCCGGAGAAGTGGCACATCGCGCAACGGCCAAGATGACAAGGAAACGCACACTACGGGCATGAGCTGGTTTCAGATCACCTGAAATGTCCTGGTCAAGCCATCAAAACTGTTTCATTTTTGAAGACTTAACCGGGGCTTTCTGGTGTCCCAAAATGATAGATTTGCTACCACTTTCGTAGCCATTTGCGGTGCAGAAAAATGATAGATTTTGTGTAGCCTGAAATGAACCTGAAATGACTCAATATGGCTACATTTCAGTACAGCAAAGAGTTCATGTTTCAGGAGACTTTGTAGCGCATTTCAGGACATCTGAAAGAACATATGTAGAAATCATTTCTGCCTCATGTTTGCAATGAGGAAAGTTCCGGGCAAGGAAAACTTTTGATGGTCCTGAAATTGCCATTTCTGATGGATTTTGAAGCTATTTTATGAGCTAGAAGATTTTTACCTGAGATAAGTCAGAAACGTCCTAGAAATGTACTATAAATTTGCCGTAAATGGTAATTTTAGAACCATTAAAAGTTTTCCTTGCCCGGACCTTTCCTCATTGCAAACATGAGGCGGAAATGATTTCTACATATGTTCTTTCAGATGTCCTGAAATGCGCCACAAAGTCTCCTGAAACATGAACTCTTTGTTATACTGAAATGTAGCCATATTGAGTCATTTCAGGTTCATTTCAGGCTACACAAAATTTATCATTTTTCTGCACCACAAATGGCTACGAAAGTGGTAGCAAATCTATCATTTTGGGACACCAGAAAGCCCCGGTTAAGTCTTCAAAAATGAAACAGTTTTGATGGCTTGACCAGGACATTTCAGGTGATCTGAAACCAGCTCATGCCCGTAGTGGCACAACTGTCCAAGAGCGTCAAATGCAACGGAGCGCACATGCCACGGATCAAAATGCTCCATCCTTGGGAATCACATGCATCTTCCCTGGTTGGGAATCGGGGCCTTGAAAGACCGCACAAATATTACCAAATGACCAAAGGTTCTTCTTACTCTGTGTCTGCATGCTGTGAAAGAGTTCCAGGTGTTAAGATTCCAGCGCGCAATGTGAGAACATCCTCTCAACCACAATGCAATTACACTGCCCATGATTTCAAGTCTTATATGCCTGAGACGTGATCTACACCAACCCGTAGGGAGAGCGTCAAGTTGACACACATGCCGTCGATACCTTTCTTAAGCTCGGGCGAAGTGGGTCTGCGCGCCGCCGCAGGATCTCCACAACACCTCACCTGAGGCCCGCTGATATGCGAAACACATGTCCGCGCACCGCAGACGCGAAGCACCACTGGGCACCCTCTGGCTCAGCATAAAACCCACTCTGCAGCGCCAGCGTGTGCATCTTCTCTCAATTGTTCATGCTTGGCCGCAGGCGCGCCATGCTTGCCCGGCTCATTTGCATCAGCAGCGCGCACACAGATCCAGACCGAAAGAACACTGAGCAAGCCGCACCAGCCAACCGGGACATGTCGTTGGCCAAACAGTCCATGCGCTGCATTCCAAGTGCTCTCCCCCCCACCCGAGCCGACCTCGTCACGCCCACCACTATCACTGGCAGCATTGCGCACTGACAGGCTGCCGCATCTCTCACCACAAGACCGGTCACACATGGGCGACTGTCGAGCTCACGTGGCCTTCGCTCACAAGGTGCCGTCGAAGGAGAGGCACATGAGCCTCCTGGACGTGGCCTATCCCAAAGATCGCCTGCCCGCTGATCGCATGCACGCGCACAAACCTCCTGGGGCGCATCGCAATCTTTGAGCGAGCACGGTGCACCCAGCCGGGACATGCACGCCCTGCAACAGCGAGCGCCACCACACGTCTGGCCACTCCGACGGCGCTGGAAGTCTAGTCATCCTGCAAGGGGACTCCACCAAAGACCGGCCTCGTCAAAATTGCAGGTGAGCCCCTGCCGAAAAGTTTATATGTTGAAATCCACTGCCGTTGCCGCCCCGGTCGCCAGAAAGATGCATCTTTTGTGGCTTCTCTCGCTTGCTTGGGAAGATTCGCCCGCCGATCCGCATTCTGGCGGGCGGTACAGGCACCACAGCTATCCCGGCGCAATGGCTAAGTAACTTCGAGCTTGCCCTTGGCGTCCTAACGAGCGTGCGCGCGTGCCGGTATGTTCGATATTGGTGTCCCTTTCGCACGCAGGAGCGAATGTCATCTGGGGCGGACGGCAGATAAAGCTGGTGAAAGAGAGGGGTGGTGCAGCATGAGTCGATGGAGCAGAGGTGACGATGTAGAACGGCCAGGAACAAGAATGGTTTGGGATCGGTTGCGAGGACGGTCCCAGTGCCATTAGTCTCAGGTCCGATGTCTTCGCACAGAAGGACGGAGCGGGCGCCTAGCCCTTGGAATAGTGAACAGGTCGAAAGTTGTCTTCTGGCCAATACTAGCGTCTTGGGCGGCGCGATATGCTGTGAATCAGTTACAATGAGATCGCTTTTAGAAATTTAATTGGCGACGTACACGAGTTCAGTGTTAGACTGTCGGTTGCGCACAATTTCGGTCGCAAATTGTCACACAGAAACCAAGAGATTTTCGCATGCCCAAAGATAATGTCTTCGGAGCCATGATGCTAGCCTTATGGCAGCCATCTTGATGACCTGATAGAGCTCAGTTTAGTGAAGAACTTCCTCAAGTTCACATGCGTGCCGTATAACATCGCTGCGTGTATCATCAGATGCAATGATCCACCTTTCAGCGCGAACACCATACCGATAGCTGCTGTTGGTGCTTGACAGGCATAGCATGATAGACCTGTTCAAGCATCAGCATTCGTCTCATCTGTTTGAAACAGAGTCTCAGCGACATGGAACTAGCAGTAATCAAGGAAAACACATGGTCCTGAGATCAGTTGGAGAGTCCTCGGACATGAAATCTTCGCGCTTCGGAAGAGGAGTCTCTTGCATCTATGACACCGTCAGAGATGGTCCAGCCTGTAAGCTGTTGGTATTTTCAACGGCGAATCCTGCTGCCCTCTCAGGCGAAACGTGATAATGCTTTGGGCATGCAAAAAATCTAGTCTCGCACGCATCATACGACGTGCATAGGTACACCTAGCAGGACGCTGTCGCAGTTTGAAATCGAAACTGTCGTGACCGGGGAAACTTACGTACCACCAACGCCCGCGAGAGGCTGCGCTTAGCAAAGGTCGATTCACGGAATCAACCACCTGATTATTGTCCTAGGGTCAAACAAGAATCTTAAAGCCCTATCTTGCTATGCTTGACGCGTAATCGTGCCGTCAGCTTCTGACAATGACCTTCTTGTTGCCTGAGACTTCTGGGATCGGAGGTCCGACGTCTGCAAGGTAGCAACGCTGTCAATGGATGCACTGCGAATTTATTCATGGTATAGCACGTCGACAAATACCTACAAAAACGCCATATGTTAGTAATCCTTCCAGCACGACACGACTTGGTACTCACATCATCTCCGCACTTCGGCAGGTCTCCTTCAGATATGTTCCCTTTCTAGCCTCCCCCAATCCCATCTCTGCCTAGAGCACCTCGCCCATCGCTCCCACCCATGCCATCGTAGCTCATCCAGCTCCAGCCGCTCGCGTAAGCCCTGGTCGCTGTTGGAACCTGCGTCACATCAAGAAGACAAGTTGGTTCGCCATTGGCTCTGCCAGGAAATGACTTCGTGAACAGTGCAACTTGGCCCCCGTGCCACCACTGCACGCACCTCAGCGTGCGGCGACGCTGCAGCAGACAGAGGTCCCAGCCTGGAGCATTTATGGCTGACCTGCTGGAATCCGCGAGCTTGACGCCATGGCCTAGCGAGACCGCCACATATAGGTACCGGTGGTCGTAGGTCTTGTCTTCCGAGAGGCGCTTGTACGAGATTCACAGATGGCCTGACGCTTCAAGGCTGCGCGCCGAGAACTGGTGTCAGAAGACGCAGGCCGCCGTGCTAGCCCTCGGAAACACGGCTGAAACCGAGTCCATGTTCAACATCTGGCGGCTAAGGTGACGCATCACCTTGAGATACGCGTGTTTACATTGATCCAGTAGTCACTGCATCAGGAAAAAAGTCTGAGACCAGAAGCGCCCCGTGAGCTTCGTAGTTCCAGCAGCCTGGTGGAACTGACCCCTATTACCCTGTGACCACACTACGGGCATGAGCTGATTTCAGATCACCTGAAATGTCCCGGTCAAGCCATCAAAAATGTTTCATTTTCGGAGACTTAACCGGGGCTTTCTGGTGTCCTAAAATGATAGATTTGCCACCACTTTCGTAGCCATTTGTGGTGCAGGAAAATGATAAATTTTGTGTAGCCTGAAATGAACCTGAAATGACTCAATATGGCTACATTTCGGTATGGCAAAGAGTTCATGTTTCAGAAGACTTTGTGGTGCATTTCAGGACATCTGAAAGAACATATGTAGAAATCATTTCCGCCTCATGTTTGCAATGAGGAAAGGTCCGGGCAAGGAAAACTTTTGATGGTCCTGAAATTACCATTTACGGCAAATTTGTAGTACGTTTCTAGGACATTTTTGGCTTATCTCAAGTAAAAATCTTCTAGCTCATAAAATAGCTTCAAAATCCATCAGAAATGGCAATTTCAGGACCATCAAAAGTTATCCTTGCCCGTACCTTTCCTCATTGCAAACATGAGGCAGAAATGATCTCCACATATGTTCTTTCAGATGTCCTGAAATGCGCCACAGAGTCTTCTGAAACATGAACTCTTTGCCGTACCAAAATGTAGCCATATTGAGTCATTTCAGGTTCATTTCAGGCTACACAAATTTATCATTTTCTTGCACTGCAAATGGCCATGAAAGTGGTAGCAAATCTATCATTTTAGG